TGGGGCAGGTCGCACAGCCCGTGGCGCTTCTTCCAAGGATATGCCGACGAGCTCCCGCTGCAGTTCCCCCCGCACGACGGCAGCTCGTGATTCCATTGCTGTATGTGCCTGAAGGGCATATTGAGCACCTCTCAAGCCCCCTTTCCCGGCTTGTAGTACCCCGGCGGACACATCATACATGTCGTGTATCCAGGAGATGCTGACGTCTCTTGAAACGTTTGTGAATGGTTGTCCAGGCTCGCACTGATCCCTGCTAAAAGTGTAAAGTTCCTCAGCGCCAGCATATAGCTGCATCGCATCCGCACTCGCTCGCCGAGGGGCAGCCCAAGCAGCCTCCCAGCGCTGATTTCAACCCTGATATACTGCACTCGCACGACTCGACGCTTGCTGCGCCTGCCGACGACGACGAGTGCGGGGGACAGGTCGTGCAGCTTGTCGATCCGCCCATGGACGAGTAAGATCCTCCCGGACACACCGCACACTCCTCGTTGCCTGGTCCCGCCTTGTAGGTGCCTGGCTTGCACGGATCGCAGCCGTAGCGATCGAGCGGCTGCTGCCCCCTTGCGGAGATGTTGGAAGCGCTGCCAGGCGTGAAGCCTGGTAAGCATTGACATGCAGCGATGGATGTGCTCTGCGCAGGGGAGCTTTGATGGCTCCCGCAGCTCTTGCAATACGTCGCCCCGACTACGTCATTGTAGGATCCTGCTGGACACCCGTGACAGCCAGTAGATCCATTCAGACCGCTCACGAAGCCCATGGTGCACTTACAGTCGTCTACGCTGGAGGAGCCCGGTGCTGACTCCATGTCATCCGGACAGTGTTGACAGAACGTCAGCCGGCTTTCGTTGTTGTATGTACCCCCTGGACAGGCTAGGCAAGCCCCGCTCTTAGGGTCCATGTACTTGCCGCTCGTGCAACGACAATCAAGGATGCTTGCGCTGCCTGTAAGCCTCGAGGTCATGCCTTCGGGGCAAGCTGTGCAGGTTGTCGATCCCTCTACATCGCTGTAGGACCCGGAAGCACAAGGGATGCAACTTGGCCCCCAGCGCCTTGCGCCCGATGTGTTGGCAGGAGGGCTTTCATCGTAGAAGCCTGCCTGGCACTTGCACTCCCATATGTAAGAGCTGCCTGCAGCAGAGACAGTGTGGGCTGGGCACTCGGCACACACTGTAGAGCCGGTACCATTGCTGTAGCTTCCCTCCGCGCAACGGCGGCAGTCCGGCCCAGCTGCAAGAGAGGAAGCGATGGTAGCGTTGCTGCCCTGCGTCGACGACCTCGCTGCCGCTTCAGCATCGTAGAAGCCAGCCTCGCACACGCAGTCTGACCGAGACGAGCTGCCCTGCACGGAGGTGGAGTGGATGGGGCAGGTCGCACAGCCCGTGGCGCCTCCTCCAAGATATGCCGGATGAGCTCCCGCTGCAGTTCCCCCCGCACGACGCAGCTCGTGATCCATTGCTGTAATGTGCCTGAAGGGCATACTGAAGCAACTCTCAAGCCCCCTTTCCGGCTTG